ACACCCAGGGGACATTCTGCTTGTCTCTTTTTGATGACGGTCAGTCCTAGTCTCAAGGTTTCCACTTGAATGCTGGGAAGAGCTGGAACATGCAGGCTTCTCTTTGAGGTCTGGCCCGATCCTCATGGGTACATAGCAGTGTGGGTATACAGCAGCACCGGGTGCTACATCACAGGGGAGTCCTGCTTCCCACTCTGTGACATCCTCCCTGGCTTGCTTCCAGAAAGGCCCAACCATTTTGCATCCCACCTGAGGACATGGGCAGGGTTCCAGTTTCCCACAGCCTGCTGTTTCCTGTGAGACAGTGTGGGCAGCGTCCGAGATGTCGGCAAGGCTTGGGCTGGGATGATGAGTGATGCTGACTTTCCCTGTCCCTGTTGGCCATCTGTCTGCCTTCCTAGAATTGTCTGCTCAAGTCCTTTGTGCACTTTCTACGTGCCATGGTTCTGGTAGGAGCTCTTTATGTGTTCGGGTGTTGACCCATCACCAGATGGAGGAGGTTGGCAAACACTTCTTTCTCCCTTCCTAGGTAGACCCTGGTGGCACGGGCGCTTTCCCATTTGATGTAGCCCATTTCTCTGTTTTTTATTTTGTTGCCTGTGCTTTCGGGGCCTGAGAATCTTATGAATCTTCTTTCCAAGCTGAGTGTAGCTTGAGCCCCAGGAAGGCAGAGGCCAGCATGCAGAGGGGTCAGGCCCATTTCCTTTTCTTTCCACTCTTTCCTTTCTGCACTTCCCTGGCCCTGAAGTCATCTGTCTCCGTGGGGCCTCTCACCTGCAACCAGGATGGAAAGGCAGTCTGCTTCCATCACACGAAAAAGAAATTTATCTGCCTGGTTTTGTAAGAACCTCTCCTCAATCCTAGAAAACGAGTGCCAAGAGTTGTGCCTCTGGAGAGGTGCGGCAGGGCTGGAGTCCCAGAGGCCAAAACCTTGGAATGCGGACAATGATGAGGCCCAGTCCTGTTGTTGTCGTCATAGTCCTGTGGTCACAGTGCCAGGGCAGTGTGAGTACTGCTGGGGTATGGGGTAGAGGGGCTACCTGGGAACAGGGCCTAGAACTCTTCCCTCTGCCTCCTGCTGTAGAGTTGGGGCTGGCTCTAGGTCCTGAGAACTGAGTCCTTGGTGCTGCAAAGACTAGTACAGCACAGAGGCCCTGTCAGGGCTGAGACAAACCAGTGACCATTAGGCAGAATGAATTGTTTGAGGTGCCCTGGAGGGGGTGAGGATGAGCCAGTGATTATATTTAAATTTGCTATAATTGATTTGGGGAAGAGCCACTGTGACAAGAACAAATTGATCATTAAATTTATTAGTGAGATAAATTTCACTGCGATTAAGCATCTGGCTGGAGATACTAGGGCCAGTGGAGGTCCCTGCACCAAACCCTGGTCTTGCTAGCAGGACTGGGGGGCTGGGGACTTGGGGCTGTGTCCTCTCAATGCCCCTCTTTGCTCTGTCCCAGGAGCATCTGTCACTGGAGCGGAGGGACAAACCTCAATGGGGCCTTTGGCACCGAGTCTGACTGCAGGCAGGGTGCTGCACAGCCCCTCTCCAGGCCTGGCCCCTTCCCTGCTGCCCAGGTGTTGCAGGGGATGATGAGGCCAGGCTGGCTGAGCTCTGGAGAAAATAGATGTGGGCCAGCCCGGAAGATTCTGCTTTAGGCTGAAGCTCACCACTGTTAGAAATTATAAAGAGATACATACTCTGCAGTTTTTAAGCCCCCAAAGCATCTGTCTTCTCCCCCCGCCTCTCTCTCTTTCTCTGGTGGGAGATTTTCCCACTCTTTCCTCCATCCTCTTCCTTCTCAATTGTGGTTCTGAGCCGGGGCACTGCCTACCCAGCAGCTGTCTGCCTGGCTCCCAGCAACCCCACCTCACCTGGTTGGGTTTTAAGCAGGGAGCCTGGAGGATAATGAGCTTCCAGGGAGAATATTAATCCCCATCAGAGGTGAAGGGGGCCCTGCCCTGGCAATCTCCAAATAAGACACACTTCTGAACTCATTGTAGCAGGGGGAACAGACAGTGCTCCTGAGGGTGCTGCTGCAAAAGGGACAGCCAGAGGAAGGGCAGAGACCTCAAGCAGGAAACACACTGGCCACTGGGCTAGTGGTTGGGAGTGGGAGCAGGTCCAGGTGAGGAGGCCCAGCCCCTCAGGTGGCCAGCATGTGCCCCACACCTGGTGCATGGCCTGGCTGCCTGGTGATTAATGGCAGGTGCTATAGAGAGAGGCTCATTAACTTCTAGCCGTCTAGCCTGCAAAGTGTCCCTCTCACCTGCCTGTGTGCTTTCGGACATTTGCACAGATCCAAGACAAGCTTGCCTGGCTGGCACACAGAAGGTTCTGCTAGAGAAGAAAAAGAAGCCCCACGCAATTCCATGCAATCTGGGAACTATGTGTAAGCAGTGCCTGAGGTTGCTGGGAGCCTAAATGCCGATAACGTCTAGTTGTTTGAAGCTTATTTCCCGGATCATTCAAACAGTGTTATTTCCAGCCAGGAACACTGAGAAAGCAAGAAGATCCAGAAAGGGAAGAGGAAAATATCTACACTAAATCCAGAGTTATGCAACCAAGAGCCACACATCCGAGAAAGGTGAGAGCAGGGCGCTAGCTAGCACTGGTGGTGGTGATGGCGGTAGTGGTGGGGACTGGCCACAGGTATTTTTCCCAACACTTGGCACCTTCCACAACCCCCAACTGTGAGAGTCAGGTTTCATCAGGGGCCCCTAAGCAGAGGTCCACACACCCTCCGCGTCTTTTAATGGGGGAAATCCCCTCCTGCATCTTTTCAACAAGTGAAAGCGAAAAGCTGCCTATGTGTCTGCAGAAAATTTGTACTCACATCCAGTAAAAAAACAATTTATTTTACATTCCACCCTGGGTGATGGGAGAAGCTAAATAATAATTTAGCATGCATAAGTAGACGTTTCTTTCTTTATATATAAATACAATATACAAAAATAAAGACAGTACAGTTTTGAGATTTCCAGCAGTTTGAATGCTCATGACATAATGTTTTTCCCCCTAAGATACAGAAGCCTAAAACCCTTTTCTCTTTTTTACTGCAGAATGGCATTTCCAGAGAGGTTTCAAGTTTCAGAGGTCACTTAACACTGTCGCATCTTCAGCCAGCCTGTGCGGAAGAAGGGGCGCAGGGCCGGAGGAGCTTGGTGCTTCCCTCCAAGCCTCCCGCCAGCACCGCCTGAAACTAAGAAAGTGCCAGTCCAGGCGTGAACCCACCGGCTGCCTAGCTGTCCCTCGGGTGGCCCAGTGGCCAGCGGGGACCCTACTGTGGCGGTGGGGGACACTCCTCCTCTGAGGAGCAGTCAGAGGAGGCAGCCAGTGCACCTGCACCGTTGCTGTAGGGAAACGGGTCTTCGTCCTCCTCGTCCTCTTCCTCCTCAGGGTCACTGTCCCTCAAGTCCCGTAGACGGCGGCCACTGCTCTTATCTCCAAGCGTGGGCGGCCCCAGCAGCTCCTCCTCACCCTTGTCCTCCTTGCCCACACCCGGGCCACCCTTCTGCTTCTCAGCCTCCTGTGCTGCCTGCTCCTTGGCCTTCTTGCTGCGTTTCCATTTCATCCGCCGGTTCTGGAACCAGATCTTAACCTGCGAGTGTGAGGGATCCGCACTTGGTCCCCAAGGTGTGCCTCACCCCAGAGGGCTGCAAAGGGGCAACCTGGACACAACCTCCCTGCCTCCCCTACACAGCAGCCCATCTCTAGGCTAGGCTATCCCCAGAGATAGGCTGTCCCCAGCTTTCTACCAGCACCCTCTGCCTGCAGCAAGGCCCGGGCCGTCAAGCTCAGGGCATCCCTCCTCTTTCTCTGGAACGAAATTTCTCCAGTGTGTCCCAGGAGTCCCTTCCTCAGAAAGGGGGAGGGTGCAGATGTCTGTCCCAACCCAGACTACTGAGCCAGACATCTGGATGTTCATAAAGATACCGTGCCCCTGCTGCGAGCCTCGCCCGGAGTCTCAATCTGCATCCCTAGGGTCAAGGGACTAGTCTTGGGGTCCCCAAGAAGATGCCAGTGACTGTGTCCCCTGGGCAGCCAGCCTGTATGGGGTGGGGGCAGCAGCGCACCTGGGTCTCCGTGAGCATGAGCGAGGTGGCCACCTCGAAGCGCTTGGGCCTCGACAGGTACTTGTTGAGCTTGAACTGGTGCTCGAGCTCCAGCAACTGCTGGCTGGTGAAGGCTGTGCGTGGCCGGCGACACTTTCCCAGGAGGCTCGACTGTGCCTGGGCTGTGGGGTGAGATGGTGTGAGGCCCTTTGGAGGAGCATGGATGCCCAGAGCTCAGGGTGCCCCGATTCCACGCCAGGAACAGTGCCTCAGACCCAGGGCCAGGGGAAGATTTGGGTTCAGTGGGATTTTTGCTTTCTCTGTCAAATGGTGCTCCCTCTGGCTCTGGACTGGGTCGACTCAGGAAGGAACAAGGTTTGCAAAGGCCAGCAGGGCACTAAACCTCTGGCCCTTATCTCCCAGCCCCCAACTCAGGCACACCGGTTAGGGAGAGCAAGCCTCCCGATGCAGTTCCCAATACCACCTCCTTAAAGCAGAAGAGGAGGGGGAAAGAAAAGAAAGAAGGAAGGAAAAGGACTAAATATGTTATTCATCAGGGATCCTCCCACATTTCCAATATTCTTCTTGATAAGCCCCTTTCTAGGGTGCAAGGCCTGAGAAGATGGAAAGCCTGCTCTGGACAATCCTCATTACCAAATTATAGGCTGAGGCATGGGCGGTTCTGGCTTTCTGTGTGTTCCAGGAGGCCTTGTCAGCTTTATTTACATAATTTCGCACGGTTACATCACAGAGAATTTTATGACCTCAAAAGGAGACTTCCCTTGATTTCCCAGGAGTCTGACAAGTGTTAGACAATAAAAGAAAGAAAGCAGAGGAAAGAAAGGAGGCCAGCCTGGCTGGGATGAGCTCAGGTTCCCCGGGGAGGGGCAATTTGCTTTATAGGAAGGACCACGCCCCCTGCTTTAGTCAAACAAGGCCCCGAATTCCCAACTTGACAATACATTAGAACTTTAATTAAAACACCGGCTCCGGAGGGACCATTTGGGAAATGCCATCCAATGGGCAGAGACAACCAATTAAAGGAAACCAAGCAGGTTCTCCAGGGGGAGAGAGGAGCCCCTTGGAACACACATTCCGATGGGCTGCCTGCATTTCTGATTGCCCTTTGGGGTGGTGGAGCTCAGATTCCTTTCCCAAACTTAGAACTAGCTGCAGTTTTCGTTAGGCAAGATCAGCAATTAGAGATGGATAAAGCATATGGCCAGCGACTCCCTCGTCCATGGATTTGGGGTGACCTCAGGTTCTACCAAGGCCCTGAGAAGCACCTGGGTGGCCTGGGAACCCGCCCCGCTTGGAGGCCTGGGAGGGCCCCCTCCTTGGACAATTAAGGATCCCAAGTCCAAGAAACGCAGGTCAAGGGGCGGCTTGCCGCAGAGAGTTCTCCTGGGCTCAGCGGCCAGACCCATAGGGTGCCCGGCTTTGGGCACCGATCAGCAAACCTGTGGGATGTCCAAGCAAGAGAGAGCCTTCTCCCTTCTCTTGAGGGAGTGGGTAGGGAAGAGACACTGGTCGATAGGGTCTTGGAGCCAAGCTGGGAAAAGCTGGGGGTGGCTGTAGGCAAACAGCAGGCAACAGGGATTCTCTCACTCCCTTGCGACTTCTCTAGCACTCTGGGGTCTTAGCTTTTCTCTATTTAGTCACAACCTCAGCTTCTAGCAGAGGAATCTGAATTCTGGCAAGTGTTTATTTCTGTTTTCTTTTTTGCCTTTTTTCCCTCCCAGGCCTGCATCTCCCCAGTCTAAACAAATCCACTCAGATGGAAACAATGGGGTCTCTTTGTTTGGGTATTGGGCGGCTGGAGGCACAACGCCATACACATATTCTGCTCTGCCTGACTAGAGGGCAGCCGCCCCAGGTGGGGACCCTGGTGGGGCGCAGGCGGAAGGACTGGAGCTGGGCGCCCAAAGCGGGTACACTGGCACTCAGGCTTCTTACAGGTTCCCAGCTCTCAGCTGCTCTGGTTTGGGGGTGGCTGGCCCTTCTTGGCTCCCACCTCCAGGAGTGTCTCACTATGCCTTGACTTCTGAAGCAGGCACCTGCTGCTTAGCCTGAGAAGCAGGTCTTTCGTTCATCGCACGGGACCCCATGCCTTTCTGCACGAGAACGGCGCCTAGCAAGGGCCAGGAGTTTCCTGGGCACAGCCTGGCAGCGGTGAACCTCTCTGAGTCCATTTCTTTCTTTTGCTGGCCCAGAGTCACCCTTTCCTGGGAGGGATCAGGATATGTCTAGAGCCCAGAACGGGAACCCAGGCCAAACTCCTTTTCCCAAGGAAGAACTTAATATGCGAGGGGGGGCGGGTCTTGTGACCCTCATTCCCACGCTGCCTAATTCAGGGCGCTCCCAGCCCTTCTCGTTCCCTCGACACTTCCTTCTGCAGCCTTCAGGTTAATCATTACATCCCAGTCTCACACCTCCAGCTGCCCCTTCCCGCTAAGAGAGGAAGAGAAGGCCTGGCCTGCGCGTGGCCATCTTGATCGTTCGTGGCCACCCACTCAGGCCGGGAGCCCGGGACAGCTCTGAGCTTCCCAGCGCTTGCCGGGCAGAGGGCGAAGGGGAGGCGCGGTCCGGGGATGGGCGGCTCGGTACTCACAGTTGAAGTCCGGCATCTTGGGTAGGATCATGCCCGCGGTGGACGCGCGAAGCCACTGGTCCAGGGGGAAGCTGCCCGCGCCTAGCTTGATGGGGTCGGCGGGGTGCCCGGGAGCCCGGGACAGCTCTGAGCTTCCCAGCGCTTGCCGGGCAGAGGGCGAAGGGGAGGCGCGGTCCGGGGATGGGCGGCTCGGTACTCACAGTTGAAGTCCGGCATCTTGGGTAGGATCATGCCCGCGGTGGACGCGCGAAGCCACTGGTCCAGGGGGAAGCTGCCCGCGCCTAGCTTGATGGGGTCGGCGGGGTGCGCGGGGTGT